ATGAATCTATTCATCTACACACACATCTATACATGCATCTAGGGAGCCCTATTTAACATTTATTTTTGCCTAAAATAAGACATCTCTTAACATCACTCAACCTCTAGTGTTCTGAATTGTACAAGAAATGCTGTTGCCCCCATGGGGTCTGGAGTCTTTGGTTGTTTTCTGATACCTCTTGTCACCTGAGTCTTAGATCATTTATAATTAAGTGGGTCATTTGAACCTGCCTTCCCTGGAAGAGTTTTGGTTTCCTCTTTACTCTTGCACCGTTGTATGCACCTCCAAGCCTTTCCATCTCTTCTTTGGGCAAAATTATGCCAAATAACCAATTTCTGATTTTTTCCATGGGAAGAGAAAGAGGAGCTGAGGTCCGCTGGAGGTTGACCAGAAGGCCCTTCCTAGGGCCTTACCTAGAGCTGGTTCCTCCTGACTTCCATTCACACACTTAGCCCTGGGTTAGAAAACTTTTTAGGCTCAGAGGCAGAACTCTGCCTTCCCCAGGTGGCAGAATGAAGCAGCAGGCAGGTCTGCTGGGTTCCTTGCCCCTGCAGGAAAGGCATCAACTTCAGTGACAGCCCAGTAGTCTGGGGGCCACTGCACCCCATGAAGACTCCTAGAGCAACCCCAAACTCAGGGCAGAGAGAGATAGGCTCAACTCTTGGGATTGGCAGAGGGTGGGGTGGAGGGGGTGCAGCTATGTAGAGAGGGTCTCTTCTCATCTGTTACAAACACAGACTCAGTCTCATCTGATGCAGTTCAGTTGGCTGGAAAATGATGGAAAGTTTAACAAGCTCAGCCTGGAGGCAGCGAAGAGGGAGCTGAGGTTATACCCAGCATCACTCCTTCTCTTCAGGGCAGGCTGGGGGCCAGGTCTTTCCCTGGAATTTGGCTGTGGATTCTAGAGAGCTTCTGACTTTGTGGGCTTTAAGCTGGCTTCCCATAGTGACCCTCAGGTATGTATATATATTTTACTATACTTTAAATTCTGGGGTACCTGTGCAGATCTTGCAGGACTGTTGCATAGGTACACACATGCCATGGTGGTTTGCTGCCTCCATTGCCCTGTCATGTAAATCAGGCATTTCTCCCAATGTTATTGCTCCCCAACCTCCCCATCCCTCACTATCCCCTCCCCTAGCTCCCCACCCCACAACAGACCCCAGTGTGTGATGTTCCCCTCCCTGTGTCCATGTGCTTTTATTGTTCAACATCTGCCTATAAGTGAGAACATGGGGTGTTTGGTTTTCTGTTCTTGTGTCAGTTTGCTGAGAATGATGGTTTTCAGATTCATCCATGTCCCTACAAAGAACATGAACGCATCATTTTTTATGGCTGCATAGTATTCCATGGCGGATATGTGCCGCATTTTCCTTGTCCAGTCTATCATTGATGGGCATTTGGGTTGGTTCCAGGTCTTTGCTGTTGTAAACAGTGACACAATGAACATAAGTGTTCATGTGTCTTCATAATAGAACGATTTAGAATTCTTTGTGTATATATATCCAGTAATGGGATTGCTGGTTCAAATGGTATTTCTATTTCTAGATCCTTGAGGAATTGCAACACTGTTTTCCACAATGGCTGAACTATTTTACACTCCCACCAACAGTGTAAAAGTGTCCCTACTTCTCCACATCCTCTCCAGCATCTGTTGTCTCCAGATTTTTTAATGATCGCCATTCTAACTGGCATGAGATGGTATCTCAATGTGGTTTTGATTTGCATTTCTCTAATGACCAGTGATGATGAGCATTTTTTCATATGTTTTTTTGTCACATAAATGTCTTCTTTTGAAAAGTGTCTGTTCATATCCTTTTAAGCAAAAATAACCAAGCTGGAGGTATCACACTACCTGACTTCAAACTAGACTACAAGGCTACAGTAATCAAAACAACATGGTACTGGTACCAAAACAGAGATATAGACCAATGGAACAGAACAGAGGTCTTGGAAGTAATGCCACACAGCTACAATTATCTGACCTTTGACAAACCTGACATAAACTAGCAATGGGGAAAGGATTCCGTGTTTAATAAATGGTGTTGGGAAAACTGGCTAGCCATGTGCAGAAAGCTGAAACTGGACCCCTTCCTTACACCTTACACACAAATTAACTCCAGATGGACTAAAGATTTAAACATGAGACCTAACACCATAAAAACCCTAGAAGAAAACCTAGGCAACACCATTCAGGACATAGTCATAGGCAAGGACTTCATGACTAAACCACAAAAAGCAACGGCAACAAAAGCCAAAATAGACAAATGGGATCTAATTTAACTTAAGAGCTTCTACACAGCAAAAGAAACAATTATCAGAGTGAACCAGCAGCCAACAGAATGGGACCCTCAGAGATATTAAGGGAGTTCTCCCATCTTCCATTTTCTACCTTCAGGTTTTCATTTTCTAAAAGTTCTATTTTTTAACAATTGCCATGACAGCAGCTCCGAGTGTGTCAAAGACAACAAAGAGTCCAGGGGTGCTCCTTGGAAGAGAAATCATTCTAAATTGCAGATCCAATCCCATCATTTGCTTCTCTCCTGCTCCTCCCACACTGAGGAATCTCGAGATACCTTTAGGAGATGTCCAGACTCCTTACAGCGCCTGCAATCCAGTACCCAGCCATGGTCTCCTTTTTCAATCTCTTTGCTCACTAGCCCTCCCTCCTGTCCTCTGTTCCAGCTAAACTGAGCTTCTTTCAATGGCATAGACTATGGCAGTGTTTGTCCCTCCCAGGGTGGAGGGCAAGCAGCCTGGACATCTATTCCTTACCCCGTCCCCTGGCCAGCTCCTCTTCCTTCTGTTCAGACATGGCTTCCTCCAGGAACTGCCTCCTGCCTTGGGCATTGGGTCTTCCCTGCTCTCTTTACATGCTCAATACCTCAACTTGTGTGTGGCTAAGAAAACATACCAGGTATTTTAAGATCACAAATTTGCTTGTTTACTTCCCCATTAAAACAGTTCTAATAGGACAGGGGCGGCTGAAACCCTTGACACCTATTATTAAATGATGGGTGAATGGAAACCTGTTCACTTTGGAGCTCTCTGGGCTTCTGGGGGAGCCACAAGGTGGTGGCTACTAACATTTGTACTTTGTAATGGGGCAGTGCTTAGTTTCACCTCCCTTTTCTCTGGTATCTGACTCCTATAATTGCTTTGCACACACAAAGCCACTGTTCTGCCGGAGGGAACTCCAGCCTCTTCAGGGGCTCTTGGAAGGTCTGAAATTCAGCATTTTTGTTTTGTCTCTCAGTATTTGTGCGAACAAGGCACCCTGGGGAGCATTGCTTCTAGGCTTCAGAATAATGGCTTGCAAAGACTCCCTAGGGCAGGCTTGAAAGAGAACAACTCGATTTTTTTGCTATCTGATTTTTTCTGCTACTAGCAGTTGATGAAACCTTTCCAATTCTGCAGTGAGATCTGTGGGGAGAGTGGTCCTGTGGCTACCCAAAGGCTACCCCATTGGCTGAGCTTCTGAGCAGGGAGGGGGTGGGCTGGGAGGACACAGGGCTGGCTCTGCTGCTCACAGCCCTTCTGCTGGGGTGGGGGTGGTAGCAGGTGTGGGGATGAAACAGCTGCTCCCCTTAGCAAGTTTGGGAAATAAAACACTGTTGACGTTATGGTGCAGACCAAGATGAGAGGCTACTGTGGAAATTTCAAAGCCAGTCCCTGAAGGACATAGGCAAGGTCGGCCTAAGGTGGCAGCTACTTGAAGCAATTCATCCCCTGAAACTCATGGTGCTGGCCTCCCCAGGTCGTGTTCCTTAGGATGTTAAAGTGGTTAACTTTTAGCCCTAGGCCTTTGCAGGCAGCAAGGTTACCATGTGCTTGATTTTGAACTGAATGGTCTGGTGTTGAGATTGAAGTCTGGTGGAAAAAATACTGAACATATAAAGATTTGTTTCCTTCTTTTGAGACTGGAGTACAGTGGTGTGATCTTGCCTCACTGCAACTTCCGCCTCCCAGGGTCAAGAGATTCTCCTACCTCAGCCTCTCAAGTAGCCGGGATTACAGGCGCCCACCACCATGCCTGACTAGTTTTTGTATTTTTAGTAGAGACGGGGTTTTACCATGTTGGCCAGGCTGGTCTCAAACTCCTGACCTCAGGTGATCGACCCACCTTGGCCTCCCAAAGTGCTGGGATTACAAGTGTGAGCTACTGTGCCCATCCCATCCTGTTTTGTTTTTTTTTTTTTTTTTTTTCAAATTAAGAAAGGATTTTATTTTGGCATAATGTGACTTCTGTATATACAACCAGTGTCTTCAAATGCCAAATATAAACTGTAGTGGTAATAGTTGCCAATTTGCTGTCCATCTCTGTCTTTTTGGTTTGGTGTGCACATATTGTATCAAGAGTGACTGGTATATTTTTTTGTTGTTGAGAGCCATCTGTCACCTCTAACAGGAAAGGCATAAAAGCCCTACAGCAAATTCTTCCTTCTAATAATCACTTGCTGGTGATAGTGGGACATGTGAATTCCAAATGTTGATATTTGGAACCAAGTATTTGTGGTGCTTTGCTAGGAGTGTACTCTATGTATTTTTATTAAATAATAATAAAGTTAATTATTGGTGAGGAAATAAGAGATGAATAAAGGAAAAGAGAATTTTGCTCTGTCTCCTTTAGGGGAGAGAGAAGAGCTCTGGGTCTGGGAATTAGAACTGGGAAGTTCTGGCTGGAGGCAGAGATCAGAGATCTTCAAGAACTAGTGAAGACTTGGTTAACGGGATGAGTAAGACAGGTTTTGGAGAAAGCCCTTTGGAGGCAGGAGGAGAGGCCAAGCCAGATTGGGAGAAGAAGATGGAATGATTTCCTAAGCAGGGAAATGAGAACTAGATGGAGGTCATAAACAAAGATGTGGTTCCCTCACTCAACAACCTTAATGCTATGGCTAGGATATTTATTAGGGACCTTCAAGACTGGCCTTCCTTCCTTCTTGTCTCCCTTCATCCCTTTGTTTTTTTCTTTTGTTCCTTCTTTCCAGAGGAGGAAATAAGCCTAGAAACTTGAAGAGCAGCCTGAAGTCACACAGCTGATTAGTGAAAGTCAGCAGAAAGCTGGCTGTGTCTCTGATGAGGTTGTGAGTAGGGGTGGGTGAGAGGATGGTTCCAGGAAGCCTCAAAGAGTGACATTTGAGTTTGGTGAGGAATGTCCAGGCAGGCAGAAGAAAAGCAGGGCTTTTAGGATAGGATTGGTGTTGCTTCCTTCTACAGTCATGGCCTCCTTTAAGTTATGAGGTTTTCTAGAAATGATGAAAATACTTCTTGCTTTTGGTAACTTGGGGAGTTTTCTTAAGAAGGGAAAATTAAGCAACTCTGAAGGGGGAAAAAAAGACTTTTCAAGATGAGCTCAAAGGAATACATTTAGACCTAGGTTTATACACTTATAGGAGCTACATCTCCTGTCATGTACATCCAGAGGCCTAGTGGGTTGAATGGTGATCCCCCACTGGAAAACACATATTCATGTCCATATTCCCAGAAACTGTGAAAATGTGACTTTATTCAGACAAGGGGTCTTTGCAGACATAGTTAACTTAAGGATCTCAAGATGAGGTCATTCAGGATGGTTCCTGAATCCAATGACAGGTGTTCCTAGAAGAGAAAGACAGAGGAAGATTAGAGACGCAGGCACATAGAGGAAGGCCACATAAAGATGGGAACAGGGATGGAAGAGATGCCACCAGAAGTCAAGCGGTGCCTTGAGCTACCAGAAGCTGGAAGAGGTAAGGGAGGGAGGGTCCTCCTCCTTGATTTTGGACTTCCAGCCTCCCGAACTGTGAGAAAAAAATATATATACTTTTTTTAGAGACAGGGTCTCACTTTGTTACCCAGTCTGGGGTGCAGTGGCATGGTCATAGCTCACTGTAACCTCAAACTCCTGGATTCAAGCAATCGTCCCACCTCAACCTCTTGAGTGGCTAAGTAGCTACAGGCATGTGCTATATGCCTGGCTAATTTAAAAATATTTTGTCTAGCGGTGAGGGTCTTACTATGTTGCCCAGGCTACCATCTACAAATGGCAAAGTTCTAGAAATGGCAGCTCTAAGAAATAAATGTAAGGGGGGACCATCTATTTTTTTCTTACTGTTTTTTCCCTTTGAACTCTTATTTTTCTTCTTCCTAGGTTTCAGGACCAGCATGTCTAAATCAAACCCTCTCTGACCACCCAGATTCTCTGGAGTAAAGATTCAGCGTCTCAGGAGGCAGCAATAAACAGTGGTAAAGAGTGCAGGTTCTGAAGTCACATTGTGCAATATTGGGTGAGTTATTTATTCTGTGCCTTGATTTTTTTCACATATAAAATGGGAACATTAATTTTGCTTAACTTCCCAGAGTGTTGGCGAGGACTGAAAATATATGTGTGTCTACACACACACACAGACACACACACACATACAAAATTAATATTTAATAAAAAATAATAGAAAAGTTTACATAGTCAACATATGTTCTGGATCATTATTTCTCATTTGACAACAGCAGATTATTACTAGGGTCATCACATAATTTATTATCCAAACTGAAACAGCTTTGAGGTGAAAGAGGGGTTATAATTACATTGGGAGCAGACCCCTAAGGCAACAGAGAGATGGGGCTACACTTGAGAGGGCCTATTTTTACATGTTGGGTTATGGAGGAGAGCATTTGGTTATCAGAAAACCACAAAAGGCTTTCTATGTAGACAACTACTAAGATCTTTTAAAAACAACTCACTGGAAGAAAAAAAAAAACAAAAAAGGAAAATGTACTTGCATAAATTTGGCTATTCAAGTTCTTCTGCTTTGAGATAACCGTAAATCTCCCAAACTGAATGGTGAGGAAGTTCCCATTTGCCTGCATGGTTCACCCCTTTCTGTTATAATATTAAACCATTATAACCTTAATATCATTGCTATGGGCTGAATGCTTATGTCCCCCCAAAATTCCTACATTGAAAACCCTTAAGTTGATGGTAGTAGGAGGTGAGTCCTTTGGGGGTGATTAGGTCCCGAGGATGGAGCCCTCATGAATGGGATTAGTGTCCTTATAAAAGAGACCCCCTAGAACTGCCTTGTCCCTTCCACCAAATGAAGGCATAATGGGAAGGTGTCATCTATGAACTAGAGAATGAGCCCTCTTCAGGTGTCAAATCTGCAGGAGCCTTGACCTTGGACCTCCTAACTTCTAGAACTCTAAGAAATAAATTTCTGTGGTTTCTAAGCTACCAGTTTATGGTATTTTGTTATAGCTGCAGGAGCAGACTAAGACATCAATTCACATGGGCAAAGGCTGGGAGGTGTTAGCGAATGTGGAACCCTTTAGAGCAGGAGCTGGGGCTGAGGAGGACAAGAAGGTAGGTGCTCTAGCACCCTTCTCCCCCCACCACCACCTGCAGGCTCAGGGTACCCCTCTCCTCTCGCCACCACCTGTAGGCTCCTCAGCGATACACTTCCTCCAGCGATAGACCCTTCAGACAAGAAACGTGCTGCTCCTGCATTTCTACCCACTCTTCCTCTGCAAGAAGTGCCCCGAGAGCTCCAAGTGTTGAAAGGCAAGTGTCCTGTGGAGGTTTCCTCTGGACTCCTGGCTGCTTTTCAAAACACATATGAAAAGACTGTAATATATTTAATTTTGAATAGTTAGCTAAACATCCCAGAATTTTGATTATCAGAGGGAATGACTCACTGGCTGCTCTGAAGTGCTTGGTCCACAACGAGCCATTTTCTATATTCGGTGAGTGCACATGCTGGATAGGCTGTTTCCATGAACCAAGCTGACAGTCTAAGAGCAAAAGGCATGGGTCCCTGTCTACCTGTTGAAACCCTCTTACAAAGACCACTGAGAAACAATGCTCCCTCTTTCACGACATGTTTATTAATGCTCAAAATAACGCTCCTTCTTTTATGGCATAAGGGAGCATTTTTTTGACAGAGATGCAGTGGTGGCTCAAAATGGGGAAGTTAATGGGTTTTTGTCGCAGGGTAGAAATTTGTAAGCGAAGTCTGGACTGGGGTTGGTCAGAATTTGTAAACAATGTGAACTTCTGGAATTGTCAGAGGTCTTGTCTCTAGAGCCTGAGTTCAGAGTCAGTGCTGAACTCTTTTTCCCATGGTCTTGGCATCGAGCCTCTGTACATACAACACAACAATGTGCTGGTCTTAAGGCAGTTTGACCTTTGCTGGTGTTGCAAGGTATGGTTTGATACAATTGATCTATTTTGCAGGTCATAGTACAGTTTTGCAGTTTGTAGTTTCAGTTGTATTTCTTATTTTTGTGGAAAGGAGAATTAATCTCCAAAGAGATGCTTCTCTTTTTATTTAGTCCAGGGACAAATTCCTAATGGAAGCAAGAATGAACACTTGTTTCCACTGGGAGTGTCCCTTTCTCTGCCTCCTCATGCTTCACCAGAGAACGTCTCAATCTTCTTGCTGAGTCAGGGATCTTCAACAATCTGGCCTCCACCACTCACCACACACGATCATCACTCACCACCTCCATGAACATAACCCAACCTCCATCACCATCACCCACCATCACCCTGCCCACTTCCATGGCCCACCCTTTCACCACCCCACCACTCCCAACCAGTACCACTTATTAAACAAGCACTGTGTGCCAGGAACTGTGCTATGTGGGTTTGCCATGCTCATTTTATTCAATCTTCACTCCAGCTTTATGATGTAGATTAGTGGTTCTCAAATAGAAAGATATTGATGCCTGGCTTCTCGCCCAGAAGTATTGAATCAAGTTATTGGATTAGGGTACAGGAATGTGTATCTTACAAGTATTTCAAATGATTTTGATGCACAGATAACATTTGAGAACCACAGATGTAAACAATATTATCTTTGTTATACAGATGGGCCAAGGGAGAGGAGATTAAAAATGATTTACCCTGCAATCCCAGGAAAGGCTATTTTGAAGATGTTTGGGGAATAGTCTTAAAGAACCAAGAACAGCAGCTGGGGGCAGTGGCTCATGCCTGTAATCCCAGCATTTTGGGAGACCAAGGTAGGAGGATTGTTTGAGCCCAGGAGTTCGAGACCAGCCTTGGCGACATGGTGAAATGCCATCTCTACCAAAAATATGAAAATTGGCTAGTCTCAAAATAAACAAAGAAATAGATTAAAGCTTAAAAATAAAAAATATGAAAAAAAGAATCAAGAATTACTTCTCTTTAATGAACACCTAATCTATTGTTGATCTCATTTTATAGAGGAGGAAACTGAAGACTAGAAAGGTTAGATCAATTTCCTAAGGTCACACAGCTCATAAGGGGAGAACCTGGGTTCAGAAGCAAATTCTCCTGACCCCACATGCTGTGCTCTTTACTGGATACTACAGCGGTCTCCAGGCAGCCCCTCTCAGGGTGGCCTAGGTGTTTCTTTGTTATACAGACACCCTGACCATATTTCAGCTTCTATACCATGGAAACACAGTTTTCACACCAAGAACGATGTCCTCTCTGCTGTCCTAGACTTTACGAGGATGGAGTGTCATTGTCACCTTCCTTTCTCCACAGCAGCTCCTTTTAACCCCCAATAGGCCTCTGTCCTCCCTGGTACTCAGGTGTAAGATGTCAATATTTTTTCTCCTTTTCCCCTTTTCTCCAGTGATCACCTCCTTTTCCAATATATTATTTTCCCCTGTCTTTCTCCAGTTTCACTGCTGTTGCTCCAGGTCCTCACACTCTCTGAATCTTTGTGAAGCCCTCTAACTGGCTTATTGACACCTCCAGTTTCTTCTCCTTGTTACCCACCCTGTACTCAATGAAAGATTTATTTTCTAAAAATACTTTTGTTGTTGCTCCTGGCTCCCAAACCCTATGAAGCCCTAACTGTTCATACAAAGCCCTCCCCAAGAGAGCCAAGTCTACAGAGTCATTAAAAAACAAATAAATTATAAGAAACCTGATTTTGTTTTAAAATTCCTGCACAAATAGCTAAGCAATTCTGACATTCTGCTCAATATTTGGACTCTTGCTGAAACACTAATGGATTGTCTTCAACACATGTCAGTGTTAATAAAAATCAGAGTGAATGTGGATATAAACACATGCTCTAATTTCATATAACACAACACATAGTATTTATTGTTTCCTTTCTTAGACATCAATTTCTATGTAATTTCTATGATTTTTGTAATATCTATTTCAATCTAGCTTTCAAAAGTATCTTTTATGTGTGTTCTTTGCTGTTTCAAGAAATAGTTTTTTACTTTATATTCCACTTGAGATATCTAACCTAGTAAAGTCATATGTACTTATTCATAACCAGTAAGTATATAAATTAGAACCATTAATCCCAATGAGAAAGCTATAATCAGCATTTATACATTTATATAAAAAGGAATCTTTAACTCGTTCAGGAAACATCTAAATACTGAATATATCACGAACACCCCCTACCCTTGCAAATAATTAATTGTTAGATTACATTGACAATTCTCTAACTTCAGACATGATTTTCATTTCTGTCATAATGTAGAACTTTAATTCACCAGTTGTTAAATTAGTTTATAAACGTAGTGTAAAAACCAACATGGCTTTAAATGCTATTTTCTGGCAGAATGCCATTCTGTGTGTCAGAGTGACCCTGAGTAATCTGCAAGCAATTCCTTTCACTCACTCTTGTCTTGAATGCTCAGAAAGTCTCAACTTTCTGATTTACTGGGCTGAATTCCAGCCTGGAGCATGTGTTAGGCACAGTTACCTAGCCACTGAAACAAAGAAGGCACTGAGTGGCTGCAGGACAGCGCTAGACATAGGTACGTGTCCCTGCCCCTCCCTCCTGTTTCTGAACTGCTGTTAACTAGTTTTCTGGCTCTTTGCTTACTCTGTTTGAGCGACCGGACTGTTTTCCTCAGTAGGTTCTGAGATACCCTCCGTGATGTTTGGGTTCTCAGGGACACCTGCTCTTTGGCTGGGTACCGTAACCTTGGCTCATTGCCCCGCCTTCAGGGTTCAGGCAGTGGACATATGTCCACCCTTGAAGAACCTGGTGGGGGACCTGTCACACTACATTTATTATAGAAAATTTCAAACGTATGCAAAAGTGGAGAGACTGGTATAATGAACGTCATGTACTACTCATCATCATGTTTTACCAGCAATTAGCTTCCAGCTAATCTCATTTCATAACACAGTCATCCCTTCTTATCCATAGGGAATTGGTTCTGGGACCTCCCACTGATAGCAAAATTTTCGAATGCTCACATCCCTGATATAAAGTGACATAGTATTTGCACATAACCTATGCACATCCTCCCATATAGTTTAAATCACCTCTAGATTACTTGTAATACCTAATAAATGTAAATGCTGTGTAAGTAGTTGTTACACTTCATTGTTTAGGAAATAATGACAAGAAAAAAAGTTTGTACATGTTAAGTACAGATGCAATTTTTCCCCCAAGTATTTCTGATTTGTAGTTGGTTGAGTCCATGTATGTGAAACCCACAGACAGGAAGGGCTGACTCTATCTCCACTTAAAAAAAACAAATTCACTTATTTATCTTCTATTCCCCTTCTTTTCACAGGGGTCGCTATCCCCACTCTTGTCTCTCCATCTTCTAAATATTTTGAAGTAAATCCCAGAAATCTTAACATTTTATTTTAAAATATTTCAATATGTATTTTAAAGATAAGCAATTTTAAAAATAACTAAATACAACTACCTAAATTATTAATAATTCCTTTATACAACCAGATAACCAATTAGTGTTCAAATTGATCTTATTCTATCTTAATTTATTTCTTTTTGTACAGTAGTTGTTTCAACCAAGATCCAACTAAGGTCCATACTTTGTAACCGGTTGGCATGCTTTAAAATCTCTTTTCATCTTCCGGTTTCCTCTTCCTCTTTTTATTCCCTCTTTGTGACTTATCTGTTGAACAAGCAGGATCATTTGTTTGTAAACTTTCCTGCTTTCTGGATTTTGCTGGTTGTATGCCTATGGTATCATTTACTTTGTTTCTCTGCTGCCTGTATTTATTGCAATTTGGTAGCAAGACATAAAATCTTGATCAGATTCAGGGTCTATTTTTTTGGTAAGAATATTTCCTAGATGGTGTTGTGTACATCTATCAGGAGGCACAGGCTATCTGGACAGCTGTCATTTTGTATGGTTAGTAGCCATTAGTGCTTAGTGCTTAGATCTATGCTGTCCAACAAAAATATAATGCAAGCCACATATGTCATTTAAAATTTTCTGGTAGCCATTACCAAAAATAAAAGCCAATTAAGTTAAATTAAGCGATTGCTTTAAGGGATATACTACAATTACCAAAAATAAAAGCCAATTAAGTTAAAATTTTAAGTGTTTATTGTGCATTGAAAAAACCCCGAAAAAGTCTCCTGGTTTGATAAGCAGGAGACTTGATGCCAAAAGTGGTGAGCAGCTCGGCTCACAGCATTCACAGTGTAGGTTCAAAAGCCTAAATGAGGAAGTACATTGATCTTTGTTGTGATTGGCTATTAAAACTTACATTTCTTTTAGGACAAGTGGGGCTGTATTAGCTTATTTGTCTGTAGCTGATTGGTTCAGAATTCAGAAAGAAAAACGTGAAGTTTTGTTTGTGATTAGAACTAATATTTCAGGAAAATCATGATAGCTTAACTTTCAGGGATGTGACTGCAGGCAGTTGGCCTAGTGATCTATCCAAACAGTGGCCTCCATTTGGAATTTTTCTTAACACTAAGTTTTTAAAAAGTAAAAAAAGAAAAACGGCTGTCTTGTTTCTGAAATAGTGCTAGAATTCTATGGATGAGATGAAGCGATACTGTTCTGTAACCTGAATTCATATCAGCAAAGTGAGTTCAGTTCCCTTCGGTGTACAAAAGCTGAGATCTCTTCTGATTATGAGAGTGACTTCTCCCCAAAATAAACTACAAATTAAGTACATGTGGGATAACCATCATTTCTGTAGAAATCTCATGACATATGTGGGCTGCCATTTTCCTTTTATAAAAAGAAATCCCAATATCTGAAATAGCTGATGTAACTGGTTGAGTGGGGATGAAGGGGCAGGGCTGGGGGTCTGTTGGTATTACTTGCCAATAGGTAAGTCTTTTATAGAAGAGATAACTGGGGAGAGTTGGAGCTGTGTCATATCTGAAAGTGATATGCATCTTGTTTTTTCACATCAAAAATAATCAACCTAAACATAAAATAATAAATCCTAAACTTGGAAATTGTAATATATCCCTTAAAGCAATAGCTCCACCTATCCGGCAGCCAAGTCAGTGCCTGGTTAGCTTCAGTTTAGTTATACTATCAAACTTGGACATGGAGGGAGCCTCAGAGGAAGAGATGCACAAGGGAGCTGACTCCAGTCTTATTGGTGAGATTGGGCCATGTCTAATATCATACAGACTCCAGAATAGGAAGAGCCTCAAATTACAAAGCCTGAGAGTGTAGTATTCAGGATGATGGAGATAAGTGGGTTAAGAATATAATTGCCAAATCAGGCAAATACAGACCAGATAAGACATTTATCTCAAGTTCTTAGGGTTCTTATTACTGCACACATGAGGCTTCTAAAACACAGGTAGAAATGTGTGGGAAGATGCAGCTTGCTGCAGATGCAAATACCAAGAGAAGGGGATATTCTAAGCAGTGTTAAGTGCTTCAGGCAGGTCAAAACAGTAGAATAATTTAAAATTATTGAAAATGAAAATTATTAATATGCATTAAGAAGCAATTTCTATAACATAGTAATTCTTAAACTCTAGACTTCTAGTCCCCATTACTAGAGATTCTGATTCTTTGATCAAATAGTGTTCAGAGATGTGCATTTTAAATATACCTCAGGTAATTCTTAGTAGATTAGAGGAGGTTTCCTTAACTTGACCAAGGATACTTATAACAGACTTACAGCAAACAATATACTTAATGGTGATGTTGTAGAAATATTCCCATTAGAGACAGGAATAAGAAGGCAACTATCATCTATTCCATAGCCAATGGAATAAAACAAGAAAAAGAAGTAAGAAGTAAAAGATTGGAAAGAAACATATAATAAGCTACTGTTGTTTGTAGATGCTATGATTGTCTACACCAAAAATCCGAAAGAATCTACAAAATATGAGAACTAATAAAAGATTTCACATTTTGGCTGGATACCAAATCAACATACAAAGATAATAGCTTTCCCACACACAACAATAACCAATCAGAAACATTAGAAAAAAAATCTCATTCACAGTACCAAGGAAGCAGTAAGACACCCACACATAAACCTATCAAAAAGTGTGCAAGTTTTCTGTGAAGAAAATACTTTGAGTGAAAGGTTTCATCTCTTTCATGTTTTGTCTCCTCTTTCTCGTTCCCCCTGCCCCTTCTTGTCTAGCGGCTTGCATCTCCTCCCACCTTACTTGGCCCCTCTTCCAGAACCAAGTCTTACAATAGTAATCAGAGTTCTCTCTCCCTCAGGGAATGGTGAGTTGTCACAGATCCCAGACCCTGGTCTGAGACGGTGTCTCTGGACTCCCACATATATAGGCTGCAGCTTACAAAGATGTGTACCCTTAAACAGCAATTGTCAGTAATATTTTCTAGCTTCCTTTTGCCACCCCAAGAGAGAGTAAGGTGATAAAAACTCCTGACTTTGGTTCCCTGTTTCCTGTGAAGTATTTTAGGTTTCTTTCTTCCCAGGATCTGAACTTTTAGCTGTGATTCCCTCCATCTGGGCCTAGAGCCCAGCAAGCTCACAGCTCCATTCAGGATCACTTTTAAATATTTTGTTCTCTTTCTAATCAATACAGATGCTTATCTCATATTAGAACCTTGTTATG